CAATGTAAAGTCTCATATTATGCCGAAGAACTTACACAGACATACAGAGGTACCGGTATCGTAGAAGCTGCAACCTTTGCTTGTTCACATATCCCACGTCAGAAGCTCCCGTAAAGGCTTCGAATACCAAGAGAACGTAAATGCCACAATTGTAGTTGTCGGTCTGGATACCAGTGCTCGATACGTACGACTGGTGATGATACCTATCCTTCGGTATCGGTAGGACCCCCACCAATTTGTGCGCGATAGCTCGGACGCTGGACGCATAGGATGATGACATCGGGTCGTAAGTGTATATGCTTTCGGTCGATAGGTCGATCATGATAGCGCACCAATGATTTTCATTACAATTGATGGGAACGAGCACCTTTCGTCCGAAACCCCGGCGAAAAGAGACGCAAGGCCCTCCATGTCTGTAGTGTTTTTCCCGTTGACAACTACACCGACGTGGCTCGAATCAATGGTGACCACCCCTGGTGTGGACGCAAACATCACGTTCATCACCGCATTCCCCGAGTGACCCTCTGGCAGCAAGGTCTAGTAGATGTATCTGTGCTCCAATGTTAGTCTTACTAGCCTTATTTCGAGGTAGTACAGTGACAAGATGACGTACCGAGTCAGAGCGAATCTGTAGCTGCTTAAGCTTGCTTGGTGTCTCATGGTCTGCTTCAATAGTGTAGTCCGGGCTAAGCGGCTGGGTGAAGTCGATTCGGCTGATCCAGTTCAGCGTTTTGTCAATAGAGTCGAAGATTGTAATTGCGTGATGCCAACCTTTCATCATTCGTAATGTCGTTGTTGAGAACACACCCAGACTAATAATCTCAACCGATACGTCTCTCTCCAATAATCCAGACGTTTTGCGTTGAAGCGCGGAAACCTTCGCGTCACACTTTCTGAGTATGTCTTTGGAAAGCACTCGAGTCAGCAAACTTGAGTCTGTCAGCGTCTTGCCTGCAGGGAGTTTGCTCGTCTGTCGGGCCACTGGGGGTTTAGGCTTAGTCCCAAATGTATACACTTGTAGTCGTCGAGCAAGTTCAGCGGAGGATGAATAGGTAGCGTTCGTGGAAAGGCTTTCGTGAACGGACCGCAAGCTTATTTGCAAGTCAAACAGCGTTGAATCTGCCTCTACACTCCGAATCAGCCTGTTTCGGTTTGCTTTCTTTGCTTTTGGCGTGACTTTAGGTCTCCCTCGTTGACGCACTGGACTCGCAATTTCGAACTCCACATCTCTGTCTTCAATTTCAGCTGTAGATAATCTGGATGTAGTCGCCTGTTGATCTCCTTCACTGGCTTGAGCGACTGATGGTGTTTCATTGACTGGTTTTGATAGTGCAGAAATGCTATGTTCGGGCACAATCGGTCTCGGTTCAGGAACAGTTGGTCTCATATTAACCGCGGTTGTAGGTGGCTCCGGCTCACTTGGTTCTTGGATACATGCACTTGTTTTCGGGGCAGTCGGTTTCGATACACTCCAGCTTGCTCGGGGATGATCAACCCTAAATCGGGCACAATCGGTCCTTCTTCGGGCTCGAATCCAACATCAAGTGCCCAACTGAGCTCGAATCAGCCACAGCCTGCCCGAGTAAGCTCGAACTGCCCGAAGCAACGCCAAATCTCACAAGGTGGCGGAGGTAGCGACGATGCTTCAAATAGGCTGCCTCAGTAGGAGCATACACGAGCAAATTGAATGTGCTGCGTAGCTGGTCCTTTTGCCATGAGGTGAAACCATAGTCCGAAGATGCCACAGACTCTCTCAGATACTTCAACACGTGAAGCTGACAGAGCAGTAATAGAGGGGATCCGGAAAACGCTGCCCTGAGTACCGACCACCTCCCGTAAAAGTCTTAGTCGATAAAGTATGCTTGGGACTTCGAAGTCCATGCCCG